CGACGCTTGCCCGGAGCTTTACACCACAATGATTGAGCTCCTAACACCACCAACCGTCTAGGGCACCCAAGCACCCAAGAGGAACAAGCTCAAGGGTACCAAGCACCCAAGAGTAATAAGCTTCTCAACTTGTAACTTCCACGTATCACCGTGGAGAACTCAAACCGATGCACCAAATGCAATGGCAAGGGCACACGGAGTGCCCAAGTCCTTCTCTCTCAAATCCCACCGAAGCAACTAATGCTAGGGAGGAAAATGAGAGGAAGAACAAGAAGGAGAACACCAAGAACTCCAAGGTCTAGATCCAAGGGGTTCCCCTCACATAGAGGAGAAAGTGATTGGTGGAAATGTGGATCTAGATCTCCTCTCTCTTTTCCCTAAAAAACTAGCAAGAATCCATGGAGGGATTGAGAGTTAGCAAGCTCGAAGAAGGTCAACAATGGGGGAAGAACACGAGCTCTACGGATAAGGTTGAATGGGGAAGAAGACCCCCTTTTATAGGAGCTCCTGAATCCAACCGTTATGTGCTCAGTCCGCGCACGAGCGGTACTACCGCTCAGGGGAGCGGTACTACCGCCCGGGAGGTAGAACACGGAGAGCGGAGCGAAACAGAGTGCGTGGCGGAGCCGACTACCATTGGCTGCAGCGGTACTGCCGCTTGGGACAGCGGTACTGCCGCTTATGGCGATAAGCGGTACTGCCGCTCCGGCTCGGCGGTACTACCGATGGGACCGCGCACAACGCCTACCACGAGCATAGGGAGAAGGAATAGAGAGGAGGGCCATTGAGCGGCACTAGGGGTGATGGTAGCCGCGGTACTACCGCACATGAGCGGTACCACCGCTCCTACTGCCGCTGAACCCGACACGAGAAAACCACATCTCGAGTCGAGGCGGTACCAACGCGGAACCGGAGCCGTACTCCCGCTTATGGCCATGGGCGGTACTACCGCTGTGGGACAGCGGTACTACCGCTTGTGGCGATAAGCGGTACTGCCACTCCAGCCCAGCGGTACTACCGCTGGCGCCATCCTTATGCCACTTCCACGAAAGCAAGTAAACTCCATGGAAAACCAGAACTGCCATAACTTCTGCACATGAGCTCCAAATTGAGCAAACTCAAGCTTGTTGGATACAAGACGACGAGTAGCATCAAAACAGCAAAAAGAGGAGTGAAACCTCCAACCGAGAAGAACCGGCAAAACCTCCAACATCGAAAACATCATAGAAGATGCAAGTGAACTCCGTTTTCGATGAACTCGAGCGTGTCAACAAGATGACCATAAGCTCCAAAGCTCACAAAGAGAAGAACCAAACAAGAACCAAAAAAGATGATGCAAGGATGCAATGGTTTGAGCTCTCTACGAACAATACGATCAAGCTACTCATCGAGAGCCCCCCTTGATAGTACGGCAATCGATCCTATAACCCGGTCTCCCAACTACCACTATGAGACCGGTAAAATAGAAAACCTATCAAGGGTAAACCTTTGTCTTGCACATAGTCCACTTGATCTAGATGATGTCAATCTTGACTCCCTCAAGTTGGACCACCTTTCTTGATTGCGTTGGTTTGGTGAAGACTAGTAGATTTCTCCCCCATACTCCACTATGGGTGAGCAACTCTTCCGCACATCTTCACAAGTCCATTGTCACCACAATGGACGGCAAGCTTCAAGCACTTGATCTCTTCGTGATGCATCACTTGAACTTGCACACGGCAACCTAACCCCACGCAGAACTCTCACGAAGACCATGGGTTAGTACACAAAGTGTAATGGACAATGCTTACCATATCATGGGATCACTTGATCCCTCTCAGTACATCTTCTATGCTTTGTGGGTTGATCTACTTGATTCACTCTTTGACTTAGTCTTGATCAACCTCTCACAAGACCAATCTTTGGATAATTCCTTGAATAGCACCTTGGTCGACACCAACTCTCCTTGAAACCAACACATGTACTCCAAGAAAAGCCTATGGACAAAACCTTCAAATATAACTCAAGGCAACCATTAGTCCATAGAGATTGTCATCAGTTACCAAAACCAAACATGGGGACACCGCATGTTCTTTCAAACTCTCCCTCGACCCTCTACTGGATCAAGAGCTCGAGGGACGTCATCGAGCTGAACGTGTTTTGAACACGGAGGTGCCATGCGTTCGGTACTTGGATCGGTTGGATCATGAAGACCTTCGACTACATCAACCGCGTTAACCTAACGCTTCCGCTTTTGGTCTACGAGGGTACGTGGACACACTCTCCCCGTCTCGTTGCTATGCATCTCCTAGATAGATCTTGCGTGATCGTAGGAATTTTTTTGAAATTGCATGCTACGTTCCCCAACACACACCACCCCAATGTACCTTTAGATCACCATTAGCCGCTCACCACCAGAAGATTGAAGAGATGGATTTCAGGTTCCCACACATTCTCTTGGAGAGATGGAAGCAGCTCATCGTATACGCTAATGTTGCTTACAACACTGGCTTAATGAGGATTTCACTTGTAACCTTTACTAAGCCTTTACCTTTACAACCCAACACTTTCCTTCTTGAACTTCCCCAGTTTACAACAATCATCCTTTGACCTACCAACCACCATCGATAGGCTGAGATACTGCTTTGATAGGGCAACCGAGTTAATGACTTGTTTGAGCACCTCGGTCTTGCTCTCAATGTACCCCTTTCCATAGAATATGGAAAAAAATTGAAGGTTCACCCTCTAACCCGATGCCACTTCATACGTCTGCGGAATGTCCCGGAGCTTCAACATACAACATACTATTCACATACGCCTCCATAAAAGTAATGTTCTCGTTCGCGAACTGGAGGTGGGTAACATTGGGGCATGTCCTCCCAAATGACACTTTCTGGATCTCTCGTCCCCCTTGGGGCTGCCAGAGGAGCGCAAAGAAGCCTTCCACGCAGAGATAAAAGGGCAGGGGAAGAGAGGACCCCCTGTGTCGCAAGCCCCTCAAAGGAATAAAACCGTCAGATAAATCACCATTTACACATAAAGGTTACCTTTTATATTTCTCATTTTGATCGCATGAACACACCGTAAGACACTAGCACATCGTCTATAATAAGTCTCCCCGGCATCAATGCACTTTTTACGACTCAAGCAAGTGATCAAATTGCATAATTTAAATACATCATATTCTTCTCTCCTTTTTTTGCCTAAGGATCCCCAACAACCTTTGCTTATTAAACATGTGACTAACACATCTACATATAATTTCGTAAAGTCGTTAGCACCTTAATAACTTGGCATTTACAGCAGAAACCATTTCAGGGGCTACAGTTCTTTGAGAAGCATGGACTCCGAAGCTAGTGAATTTATGGGATGACAAATTATGCGTCTCCATTTTCTTTTCAAAGAGATCAAATCAGAAAAAGTTAGAAGATCTTATAATAGTGAATGGAGAGAGTAAAAACCAAAAAATAGGATCCCTTGCAGTGTCATAGAACCGCCAACCTATTCTTGTAGGAGTAATGCAAAGTCCAATGTTTTCTCATATGAAAATTCAAGTTAAAATATTTTTATTAGGCAAAAGAGTCTGATTCTATTTGTAACGTTTTAATTACTTTTATGTGTACAGATTATTCTTTTGAAAATGCGTGATTTTTTAGTGGGATTTCTTTTGAACTGATTTTTTAGTTGGACTTGAAAAGGGGTCATTTGACCCAGGATCAAGTACTAGGATTTGTTTACTACTACTCCCTCCATTAAAGTTATACTAAATCAGTGATTTAAAAAAAGTTATACTAAATCAGTGACATTTATTTTGGGACAGAGGATTATTTTTTTGAGTCGATAGGAATATTTTCTTTCTTTTTTGAGCAAAAAGATAGGAATATTTTCTAGGGTTTTTTTTTGAGACAAGGAACATTTTGGTGACGTGTGCTTGTCTTACGAAGCTACAATCTGACCCAGCCCACAACAAGCACACACAAAAGCCCACATTAGACTGTCGATACAATCCCCACGGCCTTGTTTGAAGAGAGCGAGACTGACACTTTAGAGAGAGAGAGAGAGAGCTGCTCGGGCGGTTCTGGAAGCGAATGGGACGGAAAGCGAGCCGCCTGCGGCGACGCCGCCAGCCGCCAGCCGGCATCAGCCCCACCACGTCGCCGTCGCCTTCGCTTGCATCCTCCTCAAGGTATGCACTCTCCCCGTCTTCCCGCTCCTCTTCACCTGAACCCCAGTTTCTCGTCGCTTTTTCCCTCGTTCATCTCTCTTGTACGCGTCGTTTGCCTACTCTGTCGTGCAACTTGTGCAATCAATCGTTCTCGTGGGAAGAACTCGAATCGCGTCGCCGCTGTCCTAGGTTTAGATTTTTCACTCGATTTCGCCGTAAAGGATACTACTGAGCCTTGGAACCCTAGATGGGATGTGCATGTACGGATAGTATAATTGGTTTGTTGGTTTTGAGAAGAAAATTAGGTCGAGTGTTCGTCGTACCCCAATATGTGATTTGCAAATGGAAAGGAGTACAAAAAGTACCCAAGCAGAAGAACCCGTGAAATTCCAGAGTATCCGTACTGTACATGTCCTGACAGTCGGTATTGGTAGCACATTGTTATTTATAGAGCTATAACTGCAGCTGTTTTATTCAGTGTTTACAGCCAAGCGAAATGTCATAGCGTTTGTCACCATTTCAGTATCATGATCTGAAGATGCAGATGGTTTTCGCTGTCACGAAAAGTTTTAACTACAGGGTGGCTTTCCAAAATAAAATTCTTATCTGTGCATGCTGTCATCTTAGCCCTGTCATATAACCATCTTACAAAATAAATCGATCAACTTGCTGCTTATTTGTAAGTGTCGACTTTCTTGACATTTAAGGGATATACAAGATCTGGAGAACAACACGTGCTTAATTGCTTGTCCATGGTCCAAGCATGCTGTCTGCCTTTTTTCATTTGTTACTGGACTAATAATCTTTCTAACCTTTCTGCCTTGAATTTGTTGTCTTTTGCAGAGAGTTTGCCATCATGCAAAGCCCGAGCAAATTGCCTGATCCATCTGTCTCTACTCCCCCAGGAGTGTTGGGGCACCAAGGTTGGGCTGACCTCCCAGATAAACTGCTTCACTCCATTGTTCCTCTGTTGGGATCTTTCCTCGACCTTATCGCGTTTGCTAGCACCTGTGGTTCTTGGCGTGCTGCCTTCTCTTCGTACCCATCCAAACCTACCATCTGCACCAAACTCCCGCCTCTCCTCGTCCGACCCAATGTCTGTGTCGATGCCCCTCATCTCCCTTCCAGCAATGGTTGTCACAAGCTACGCACATGTAAGGTCATTGATCTGGCCAACCAGAACAGAGCCCTCCGCTGCCAGATTCCTCAAGAAACTTTTCAGAGGATGCGTTTTGCTGGCTCTTCCTATGGGCATCTCATCTGCTGCCGCCGAGGAAATTGCCTTGTTGTTGATGTGTTCACTGGTGCCGAGGTTTCACCTCCATCTCTCCCATTCAGTGGTGACTGTGAGCAGGAGTTCTACTTTGGCGGCACCCTGACAGCTCCCCTTGCATCACCCAACTGCCATCTCCTTGTCAGCACACGATCCTCCCTGTTTGATTGGCCAGTTGGAAGTGACTCTTGGTCTGAACTCAAGCTTTCTGATGCACGGATAGATCAGATTGTGGAATCCAATGGTCAGTTCATCGCCATGGATTATTCCCAGAGGATCTACATTCTGAAGTTAGCCCCCCAGCTTGGCCTGCAGGAGATAGCAACTTAGTGGTGGGACGACATGACTGAATGCCCATATCTAAGACCATGGCTGGTGGTCTGCGGTGATATGCTTCTCATGGTTGACCATTACATGAGCTTATCATTTGGAGCACCAGTCTTGTATAAACCCTACCACCTTGATATGTCGACCAGACCTGCAAAATGGGTGGAGGTGAAGAAGCTGGACAATTGGGCACTCTTTGTAGGGGGTGATGTGAGGAGCCCGCCGTTTTCTTGCTTGACCCCAGAGAAGTGGGGAGGGAGGAGCAACTGCCTGTACTACGCCCATTACTCTCAGCCTTGGAGCGTACATGGATTAGGTGACGCGGCAAATGCTGTGTGGGATCCTTCCACCGACCCTGATCTTGTGTACAAGAGAAACTGGTACGGCCAGCTGCAGGCCTTCTGGGTGTATCCAAGCATGTTCTATTCTGATGCTCCAGTAGTGACGGGGCACCAAGACTGGGCTGACCTCCCAGATAACCTGCTTCACTCCATTGTTCCTCTGTTGGGATCCTTTCTCGACCTTATTGCGTTTGCTAGCACCTGTCGTTCTTGGCGTGCCGCCTTCTCTTCATACCCATCCAAGTCGACCTTCTGCACCAAACTCCCGCCTCTCCTCGTCCGGCCCAATGTCCGTGTCCAAGCCCCTCATCTACCTTCTAGCAATGGTCGTCACAAGCTACGCACATGTAAGGTCATTGATCTAGCCAACCAGAACATAGCCCTTCGCTGCCAGATTCCTCAAGAAACTTTTCAGAGGATGCGCTTTGCTGGTTCTTCATATGGGCAACTCATCTGCTGCCGCCGAGGAAATTGTCTTATTGTTGATGTGTTCACTGGTGCTGAGGTTTCACCTCCATGTCTCCCATTCAGTGGCGACTGTGAAGAGGAGTTCTACTTTGGTGGCACCCTGACAGCTCCCCTTGCATCACCCAACTGCCATCTCCTTGTCAGCACCCGATCCTCCCTGTTTGATTGGCCGGTTGGAAGCGACTCTTGGTCTGAAATCAAGCTTTCTGATGCACGGATAGATCAGATTGTGGAATTCAATGGCCAGTTCATTGCCATGGATTATTCTCAGAGGATCTACTTTCTGAAGTTAGCCCCCCAGCTTGGCCTGCAGGAGATAACTACCAAGTGGTGGGACGGCATGACTGAGTGCCCATATCTAAGACCATGGCTGGTGGTTTGCGGTGATATGCTTCTCATGGTTGACCATTATGTGAGCCTATCATTTGGAGCACCAGTCTTGTATAAACCCTACCGCCTTGATATGTCGACAAGACCTGCAAAATGGGTGGAGGTGAAGAAGCTGGACAACTCGGCACTCTTTGTAGGGGGTGATGTGAGGAGCCCGCCGTTTTCTTGCTTGAGCCCAGAGAAGTGGGGAGGGACGAGCAACCGCCTGTACTACGCCCATTACTCTCAGCCTTGGAGCGTACATGGCTTTGGTGATGCGGCAGATGCTGCGTGGGATCCTTCCACCGACCCTGATCTTGTGTACAAGAGAAACTGGTACGGCCAGCTTCAGGCCTTCTGGGTGTACCCAAGCATGTTCTATTCCGATGGCCAGTGATCATCGATGGGGCAACTACAGCTTGCTGCTCTGCCAGCTTCTTCTCGGAAACTATCACTTCCAACAGACTTAGGCAGCTGAAAAAAGGTGCTTTTTCATGGTGACAGTCATGCTGAAGCTTCTGCAGTTAGTTTCATCCTTCTGTTTTAAAACATTGTAGGAGGCGTTTAGGGTTGCAATCGGTGCTTACTCTAGCTTTTGCCAGTTAATTTGTCGTTCAATTTGCTGTTTGGTTGTTGCACTGTATGGATATGTACTTGACTACGTATTGCTCATCTGTGCTGGAGTTGACTAGTTAAGCACCATGTTTCTGCATGACGAAGAGTGTTCCTGCATGTGCCCGTGCTCTTATTTGCATCTTAATCTATTTTAATTCGACAAGTTAATTACAACAAGCAGACTTGCATAGCTAATTTTGCTTGAAGATACATGATGTGTCACTCTTGAATTCGCCCGGTCTGTGAACAAGGCATTTTTTTCTTCAGTTATTGTAACAAGAGTTGCCCCGAAGTGTGTTTTGTTGTGCATGTATGATATACAGAGCTGTTGGTGTCAGCGTGAAATATCGCTGCACCGTTCATATTTCGTATGCGCATAGATATCAAGATGCCTGAAATTCGAAACACATTCCCGTTGAAAGAACACTAATTTCTCAGTTTGGTAACCAAAGAAGGCTTCTTCAAACTTCATGTACAAAACAGTAGGGTTCTAACATAGCCCAGTTTCTAATGATATAAGAATCAAAAGGGATATTGATTTTAACAAATGCATTTTTATTGAAAAGATATTTTAGCCCGTAAAGGCAGCAGGATCTCCTTGAACGTATGGTGTTTGTTCAACATTGGACTTTGGATTACTCCCTCACTACAAAAACAGAATTAAGATTCTACATTTACTTTCAAGGAATCGTCCGCTTTCATCTTGTAACAATCAAGTGTGTCCATGTACAATTCTTCTGTTCCTTTCTGTACACTTGGAATAAAAGTTCGGAGGCAGAGGTGAAAATTGCAGTTCCACATATAGGTGTAACATTGCAATGTTCATCTCTTAGTCCCTTTTTTTTTACGAATACAGCTGGTATTTATCGTCCCGGGAAAACTCTAGCTCTGGAGCTGGTGCTTCTGTCACGAGCTCATCCTTGCAAGGGATCGGAGAGGGGAAGGGGGATGAGATCGAGACTTGGAGAAGGGGGGTTTCTTTCCAAGGGTGGAGGTACAGATTAGGTGAGAGGTTTAGAGACTTGACATAATTTCCACACACGCACACCTACTCGCTCCAGCTGGCTATATAGCCAGGCAACACTTGGCAACTCGCCTTACAGGTGGGTCCGTGCCAGTAGGCAGCGGGGCCCACCGAATCACACGTCCACCGCATCAGGTCCTGATGATGCCGGTGTGACATTCCCCTCTTCTTCAGAACGAGCGCCATCTTCAGGAACGTCGTCATCGCCAGCCGCTGGCACGTCCCAGGCTGCTGCTTGAGGGAAACGGCGGCGGAGGGTATCGTAGTCCTCCCAAGTAGTTGCTGCCTCGCCACTGCGCCAGCGCACCTTGACTTGCACCAGAGCACTTGCGCCCCGCTTGACCATGCGGCGCTCGACAATCTCCACTGGTTCGTCGTCGTGGCCGGCGAGGTCGGGCGGTCGGGGCAGCTCGGAAAAGACCGGTGTGTAGTTGGGAGTGAACGGCTTGAGCTGAGAGACGTGGAAGACGGGGTGGATTCTGCTGTCCGCTGGCAGCTCCAGTTTGTACGCCAGCTTGCCGATTCTGTCCAGCACCACAAATGGCCCGAAGAACTTGTATGCCAACTTGGCACACGATCTGTTCGCCATCGAAGACTGCGCGTAGGGCTAGAGTTTGAGAAGAACCTTGTCGCCCACCTCGAAGGAGCGCTCGGAGCGATGCTTGTCCGCCTGTTTCTTGAAGCGATGTTGGGCGCGAAGAATTTGTTCGCGTGGTCGTGCCGTGTGCAGGCCCCAGTCCCAGGGCTTGCCGTCGATGATGGGCACCGTCTTGTCGTCCCAAAGTGTCATGGCGCCCAGGTTGGGTTCAACGCCATACAGAGCTTTGAAGGGGGTGCACTTGATCGAGGAGTGGAATGACGAGTTGTACCAGAATTCCGCTGTAGGCAGCCAGCGGCGCCATTGCCTGGGCGAGTCGTGCACGGCGCAACGCAAGTACATCTCCATGCACTGGTTGACGCGTTCGCTCTGGCCGTCCGTTTGGGGGTGGTAAGCCATGGAGAAGAGTAACTTGGTGCCCGCGCTGGCGAAGAGTTCGCACCAGAGCGCGCTGGTGAAGACGCGGTCGCGGTCGGAGACGATGGAGCTGGGGATGCCGTGCAGCTTGACGATCTGATCCCAGAAGACCTTGGCGACCTGAGGAGCCTTGAACGAATGCCGAAGCGGAATGAAGTGCGCAGATTTGGTCAGCCGATCCACAACTACCATGATTGAATCGAAGCCCTCTGATGATGGTAACCCTTCCATGAAATCCATGGTGAGGTCGCGCCAGGGAGCAGTTGGCACTGGCAGGGGCGCGAGCGTGCCCGCCGGCTTGGACTGCTCGTGTTTGGCATGCTGGCACAAGGAGCACTGCCGCACGTAGTCGGAGATGTCGGTCTTCAATCCGTCCCAGACGAAGAGCTTCTTGATGCGCTGGTAGGTGGCCGTCGCGCCAGAGTGGCCACCCAGTGCGCTGTCGTGCAAAGCGCTGATGATCTTGGTGCGGGGAGCCGTGTTCTTGCCGATCCACAAGCGCTCCTGCTTGCGGATGAGCCCTTTGTAGAGCTGGTAGCCGTCGTCATCGGGACTGTGGATCGCAAGGCGCGCCAGACGATCCTGTGCGTCGGCGTCCGTGGCGTAGGAGTTGGCCACCTCTTGCACCCATGCCGGTTGGCAGATGGAGAGCGCGTCGAGGTTCAGGGTCGCGCCCACACGAGAGAGAGCGTCCGCGGCTCCATTGTCGTTGCCGCATCTGTAGCGGAACTGGAACTGCAAGCCCACCAGCTTGGCCATGGCCTTGCGTTGCAAATCAGTGGCGAGCTGCTGATCTTGCAAGTTGCAGAGACTCTTGTGATCGGTGACGATGGTGAAGGGGCCCCGTTGCAGATATGCGCGCCATTTCTCGACGACCATCATGACGGCGAGGAACTCCTTCTCGTACGCCGTCAGCTTCTGATTGCGCACTCCCAGGGCCTTGCTGAGAAACGCCACCGGGTGTCCGTCCTGTGCCAGCACCGCGCCGACACCGGTGTCGCACGCGTCCGTCTCAATCGCGAACGGTCTCACGAAATCGGGGAGCACGAGCATTGGCGCGGTCACCATGGCGCGCTTGAGGAGATCGAACGCCACTTGGGCCTTCTCGGTCCACTTGAAGCCCTTCTTGGTCAGTAGGCTTGTGAGCGGCTTGGCAATGATGCCGTAGTGTGCAATAAACTTGCGGTAGTAGCCGGTGAGGCCGAGGAAGCCGCGCAGCTCGGTGGCAGTTGTTGGTGTCGGCCATGCCACCATAGCTTCCGTCTTCTCAGGGTCCGTGGCGACGCTGTCCTTGGAAATGATATGGCCGAGGTAGGAGATGCTGTCTTGCGCGAACGAGCACTTGGACTCCTTGGCGTACAGCTGGTGCTCGCGAAGAAGAGCGAGAACGAGACGAAGATGTTCCAGGTGCTCCTCCAGCGTTTCACTGAAGATCAAGATGTCATCTAAGAAGATAATTATGAACTTGCGCATGTACTTGGCGAAGATTGCGTTCATCAGGCACTGGAACGTGGCCAGCATGTTCGTCAGCCCGAATGGCATGACCTTGAAGTGGAAATGGCCATGGTGCGTTTTGAACGCCGTCTTCTCTTCGTCGCCCGCGCGCATGCGTATCTGGTGGTAGCCAGCGCGGAGGTCCAGCTTGGAGAAGAATGCTGCTCCAGCCAGCTCATCGAGCAGTTCGTCCACTATGGGCAGGGGAAACTTGTTCTTGACCGTAGCGTCGTTGAGACGGCGATAGTCGACGCAAAAGCGCCAGGTGCTGTCCTTCTTCTTGACGAGCAGCATGGGCGCGGCGAACAGGCTCATACTGTGTTCAATGACACCTGACTGAAGCATCTCTTGAACTTGGCGCTCGATCTCGTCCTTCTGCAAGGGCGAGTAACGGTACGGCCGCGAGTTCGCGGGGCGTGCGTCGTCCACCAGGGTGATAGCATGATCATAGCGACGGTGAGGAGGCAGGCCCTTGGGTTCAGCGAACACATCAGCAAAGTCCGTCAAGACGCTCTGCACACTTGGTGGGATTTTGGTCGCCTGCGGCTCAGGTGAGCGGGGCAAATCCAGCACGGCCATGTACCAAATGTCGTTGCCGGCTTGCCATTTGCGCAATTGGTCTGGTTCGATTTCCTCCACCCGCTCGTGCTGCTTCGGTCGAACACCTTGTAGGGTGATCATGGCGCCGTGGTGCTCGAAGGTCAGCGTCTTGTCGAGCCAGTGGCAACTCATCGGGCTGAACTGCTCCAGCCAGTCCATACCGAGCACGCCGTCGTACGCACCCAACTCCAGTTGCCGCATATCAATGGTGAAGGTGTGGCCCTGAATCCACCAGTTCAGGCCTTGTACCATGCTGTTACAGGTCATGCGCTCGCCGTTGGCCACGCGAACCTCCACTGCGGGCATTGAAACGGTTGGAGCGTGCACGCGCTCGGCGAACGCCTTGTAGACGAAGCTGTGCGTGCTCCCCGAGCCCACCAGAAGCAACATGACTTGATTGCCGACGAGTGCGCGCAGACGGATGGTGCGCGGCGACTCGGTATCGACGACCGCATGGGTGGAGAGCACGCAACACTCGGGCGCGGGATCCTGCTCCACCGGGGCGTCGAGCAAGTCCAGGGCGTGCACCACGTCGTCAGTAAGCACTTTCCCATAGTCGCCAACTTGGATCGTGAGCAGTTGTGTGGCCGGCTTGCATCGATGGTCGCGTGAGTAGCGATCGCCGCATTTGAAGCAGAGGCCTGGGTGT